GTGTGTGTGTGTGTGTGTGTGTGTGTGTGTGTGTGTGTGTGTGTGTGTGTGTGTGTGTGTGTGTGTGTGTGTGATATGGATTGTGCTTATCGTCAAAGAGAAATGGCAAATCTTGATATTGCGTACGATTCGTTATTACTCACATGAACAATATCCGTGAGATACATTTTGCTGCTGTTGTTGCACAAGGATCAACTGAAGTCCTGTGTCGAAAGCGTAATTGACATTTGGGCACACACGATACTTGACGGAGAAATTATACTAGTGAACGCTAGATTGGGCCGCATATCCGTAATTGTTTTCGCAATCTTTATATGTTAAGCTACGATATATTCTATTATCTTCTACTCTTGGTATCGTCGAAGCAAGTTGCAAGGATAACGTTTCCGTAAGTTTTTTTACCCTGCGAGAGTTTCGTGTTTGATTTCAAGATAAAACTTTCGACTCCAGTCGGGGTGATTTATTTTCTGTAGGCATAAAATGATTTATGATTATTGATTTCTTCGTAAATAATGTTTAAATGAATATATATTTCTTTTTAATTTTTTATATTTAACATTCTGTTTATATGTTGCAAAATGTCACCAAATAAACGTTCCTATCTGGCTTGACGAAATACGATACAATGACAAATGTCGTATTTTATGTAGTCGCAAAATAGGTACACATGAACAATGATGCTACATCCGTTAACTTCTACAATTGCGTGGTACAAAATATTTTTATTGCAGAGGCAAGTATTTCTATCTATAAACGTGCACTCCCTTTTCCAACAAACTACGAATAAACTGTAACTTTATTCCTTCCTGTATCAAAAGTTATGATTGCTACCATCAGAGGTTGACAGCAACTAATAGTTTGGAATGCATGATGCAGAATATGCTGATTCAACCTGCGATGGCTACAATTATAACTTTTGATACAGGAAGAAGTAAGGTTACAACTTATTTTTAGTTCGTTGAAAGAGGTAAGGCACTTTGACGAACAAAAATACTTACCTTTGCAAACGGTCCCGATTGTCTACGAGCAAGTTGGTTCGCAAGTTTGCTACCAACGTTTTTTTAAAGCTTTACTGCCTCACGCACACATCTAAATATTAAAATCGCGCAAGCGCAATCGAATAGCGAATTTGTTTGGTTTGTATCTCCCTTTGCAACCGTCAGTTGTAATCGAGCTCGCATCTGAACTCCATCGTGCTCATAATAATTAATACGGTTTGCATCCGAAAGTAATTCCCTGTAAAAGAAATTAAGTAACGATTTTTCTCGTAAATTTAAAAAATATGCCGAATAACGAACATTATCAAGATGATATTATGTATATCACGAAAATAACGCGTAATGTTTTGAACGTACTCGGAGTTTGGCCGTCCTTAGACGGAGGAAAATTAATCGGCGGCCGAGTCTGCAGGCTTCTAATAATCATAATTGCTTGGTTACTCCTTTACTGCGTCCTGATCCCCGGTTTCCTCTTTTGGGTGCTCGAGAAGAGAACACGCATCAAGATTCAGGTGTTTCCTCTACTTGTTTTCGGTTTTATGGCCATCGGTAAATATGGTAATTTGATACTTCGCGAGGGGCAGATCAGACGTTGTCTAAAACATATCGAGGAAGACTGGAAGTATGTAATAGATACGGACGCGCGGAACTTAATGATCGAATCCGCGAAAACTGGAAGACGCCTAGTCACAATTTGCGCAATCGTCATGTACGGCAGTGGACTTTCTTACCGGACGATCTTACCGTTGTCCAAAGGAAAGCTCGTCACCGCGCAGAACGTCACGATTAAACCCTTACCTTGTCCGGGTTATTTCTTCTCTTTCAACGCGCAAGCCAGCCCTACTTATGAGATGATTTTTGCGATGCAATTTTTTTCTGGTTTAGTCACCTTTTCGATTACGACAGGCGTGTGTGGTCTCACGACTATCTTCGTGATGCATGCTTGTGGCCAGCTGAAGGTACTGATGATGCTGATGACACGTCTCTTCGAGGAGCAGTGGTTTAAGAAACATGATGTGGATAAGAAACTGGCCGAAGTAGTCGAATATCAAATAAGAGTACGAAGGTGAGTGCGTGTAACTCATAATTTTTATTTAATATATATTGTCACCGTGTATAATGATAATTAATCCTTATTATTGTGTACCGTACGTGCTGAAAATGTCGATTTCATATTATGCGTAACAATATTTCAGCTTTTTGCAATTAGTGGAGCGCACTATGCAACAAATGTGTTTGATAGAAGTAATAGGATGCACGATAATTATCATCATTTTAGGATATTTAATAATAATGGTTTGTAACATTTTGGTTATGATATAATGTAAAAAGAAAGGATTCATGAATATCGTATCTTCCTACATGCGATTAAATCGCTTTGGTCTTTTTGATTATAATCCTTTTTATAGGAATGGGAGAATAGTAATAGAATAGCGATGTGTTCTTACTTTACGTCTCTCACATCTATGACGATAAATGTATTTATGTTTTGTTACACTGGTGAGCAGCTTACCACCCAGGTATGTTTGTTCGTGTCGGAATGTTAAATTCTAATAGCAAACGCCACCTACATTGGATGACAGACATTAGTCGATCGTCTGTAAACATAATTGTTTTATTCATTATAAATAACACAGCAGTAATTTTTGCTTTGTGGAGTTGAATGAGAGACGATGTTTATTAACTACTGAAAAAGTCATTGTTGAGATATTAATTTATTAAGTTGTACAAATTTATTCTATACGTGTTTGATATTAATAATAGGCGGAAAAGGTAGCTAGTACATCGTGCGAGCTCGAGTGGTATCGTCTTCCGGACAAAAGAGCACGCGGCATCGTGTTGGTAATGATCATGTCTAATTTGCCCACCAAGCTCACTGCAGGAAAAGTCATGGACCTCTCCATCAAAACATTTGGTGATGTAAGATAATATTTTCAAAGAGATCTACTTATATGTCCAGTAAATTACAGTGTTCTTACATTTCAAAGAGGATAACAATATGTCTCAATATTATTAAATTTATAAATAATATTGGAAAATTTTAGTAAGTTTGATTTAAGTAGTTTATAACTTGTTTGAATATTTTGTATACAGTATTATCTACATGTTTTATATTTATCATTCATTATTAGTTTATTATTAATTTCTTTTTTGTGACAAACATGTTCTTGGAATTTTAAGAGAGTATTATTATATATTTTAGCATCATATTGTGTTTTAGGTGGTTAAAACGTCTATGACATATTTTAATATGCTTCGAAACGTAGCCGGTTGAATATTTGTGCTCTACTGATCCAGATCATGATACAAACTATACAAATTGCAATGATGATATCATATCGTGTATATTAATGTTATGAATGTGTCAAATGCAACGGTTGGTGCAATGTACAGACAGAATATGTACTTCGAATTTAAATACATTTCTTTTGTGAAAACATACATACGCAGGATTTTTTATTTCGCGGTAAATTTGAAACACGTAACATCGAAATACTAATTATTTTAACTTTTCTTATCTTTAATAGTGAAAAAGAAATTGTTGCACACACATTGTTATTGATGATTTTACATTATAAAGATCTCTTACCTTATTATCGCTATCGACCATTACAAAGAGTAAATGTGTTATCTATTTCAGATGAAAAATTATAATAATCACGTTAACATAGAAAAAAATATTTCTGTTTATTCATTCAAGATATACGATAATCTACTATTACTGCAGATTTGCTGCAGGTCAAAGATTGTACCTTATTCACTATTATCATCGGTAATCTTTCTTTACAAAATGTCAAGTTCTAATTTTCTAAATTGGCTGGATAACTTTTTCCCCGGGCAACAAAAAAACACCAGACTAAGTTTATCATCTAAGTAACATTTGTTCGAACATAGAAGCGTTTATTCAGATTTGCTATGTTCCACGAAGAAACACATTAGTAGTTGTATATTTCATAATAATACCGGGAGAAATACAATTACTTTTTCTGCTATGATACAAATCAAGTTTGTATGGTTAATATTCTGCGAAAGTCAATGGCCGTTTGGTATCGTAGCCGCGGTATTGATGACAACCCTTTTGCGTTTAATAATTGAAAAGTAGCTGGAGGGACTTTCATCTTGTGAAAATAAAAAATAGATTAGCTTGCAAGATTTCTGTTAGTGTTGTCACACATACATTGTTAATAATCAACTTCACGTCAGTGATAGAAACTTTGGTCCGCGAGCAGCACGCATCAGCACGGGAGGGGTTACGCACCACTCACGCGACCGTGTACATACGTGAGTGAATGATGTTTGAGCAACTTCGAGCGTTAGACCAGCGCGAACTATCATTTATTGTCTCTTTTTCGCTCGTAAAAATATAATAAAACTATTGTAATATATAAAAATAATTTCTTTCTTTTAATTTTCTTATTTAAGATAAAGGTATCAATAGCCAGACATGTCTCTATATCCGGACATATACACGGAAAATTATTATAATTAATCTTAATTATTTTTTCTATAATAATATTATATATAATGTTTAATTAAAATCTATCAATATTTAAAAATATTTATATGTTGAATTATTTTAAGTATTATAAAAATTATTATCCAATGAGAAAGAAAACTGTAACATGATAGATACAGAATTTACTTTCACGATGTTCTTAAGTTTTGTTAAGAAGTTTGATATATTTGTTAAGATATTTCTTATTTATTTTTGTAGAATGCTTATGTTGATCGTGACGCGGGTGCCTATTGGTGCGCGATTATACGTTACTGGGCGCAAGAGACCGTGAATTACTACGCGAGCATCGGTTTTTGTTTTCGGCGGAGCGAGCGTCAGACTGTCTCGAGCGACCGCCGTGTGTAGCAGTAAAGACTCTTCTCGTCAATTGTTGTCTTATTGTGTATTGTATCGGCATCCTGAGTCCCTACCTCTCCTACAATTATTCAGAAGTGGGATTCGAGTAGGATTCCAAGGAATCTAAGAGGACATGATAAAGAAAACGGAGAGTGATAGAGAGTGAGAAAAGCGGCACAAGAGCGAGTCGGACGCGCTGCGGAAAAACACAGCCACGTTTGCTAGCTGCCATTGTGTGCGTAGACCCGTGCGGAGAATAAGTGTGGTGTTTCGCATAGAGTTCAGATCGCATTAGCAAAGCATGGATGCAAGCAACTTAAGGGTCGCGCAATTGAAAGAATTGTTACGGAAGCGTCAGTTGTCCACGACGGGATGCAAGACGGAATTGATCGCCAGATTGCAAATGACGGACCCTGAAGGACAGTGGATGCAAGATTCGACTATTGTGGAAGAAAG